GCTTGCCCAGAAATCTGGAGGCAGTATCACCTAACGGTAAGTAGAAACACCTTTTTTATTTTCCCCAAGACCCAGCCTATTTACCCTTCTCTGAACTGCTGACCATAAAATATAGACAAGCATCTTCTACCGGAAGATAATAAACATCTGAAGAGTTTTTGCACTGAGAAAGCAATAATACACTTTTTCTCTTCTCCCCTGCCCACTCCTCTATCCTTTATCTTCCTGCTCTTAACAGATTTTGATTGTTTTTTATTACTCACATCATTTAACGATTACATCATGGTATTTCTCAGTCTTCCTAGACCACATTCATTAAATTAAAGGGGAGAAGTATGCTAGAAGCAAAAAAATAGTAGTAATCCAACATCTTTAAAATGTTGTATCTACAGTCCACAAGCATACAGTCCACACTATCTTCCATTATCATTTTTCTGGCTTTACTGAAATGTTTACACATATTTTCCAGTGAAGCTAGAAAAAACTTAGTGCATCTTTCATATAGAACAATTCAACTGTCATATCCTTAAGCTTCTCTTGACATTCAAAGTGTACAAATATCTGCTTAATACCATTTAAGTTATTTAATTCTATGGTTTCCTTTTAGTGTGATTTTAGGCTAAGTAGGAGCAAAAAAAATAGTTTGCTGTGGAATCAGTTGGTTAATGCTCAATATTATGAAGTCAGTTTATTTTTATTATTTAGCTTAAATAATTTCAATAATTCACCATAGCTACTCGTCATTTCTTTTAATGTATTAAATATGTTGTGCTGAGCAAAAGACAACATTAAAAATTACTCTTGTAATTATACAGCTATGCAGTATATTTTAAAGCAGTTCTTTAAAGTTTAACTTATTAAAAAGTTTTTGTTTATAGGAAGACATAGTAAAAATAGAAAGGGCAGAGTTTCTACAAAACACGTCTTCTTACTGCTCTCCTCTTATGGAGTAAAAATAAACCAATAAGTAGACTCAATTGTGCCTATCACAAGCCCAAGAAGTACATCAAGTGGTTTGTTTTCACATTGTTATCACTGTTTAATTTGTTTAAAGATTCTCGGTAGAAAGCTGTAATTCCTTAACTATCCTCAATCCCATATTGGGTTTTGTTAAAAATCTTTAGTGTTATCCCCTACTCCAAAAAAAAATTTAAATAAATACATGCACATGCGAGCACGCATATAGACACACACACATGTTACACATATATGTTACAGGTGTAACTCATGAATACATTATGTTTGTGTTAGGGTAGCAATTTTTTTTATCCTAACAGGCTATGGTGAAATTCTTAGTCTAAATTTAATTGGAATCCAATCATGTATTACACTTTTCAAGATCACAGTCACTCTTTGTAACTGTATAGCAAGTTTTTCACCAACATTTTTATTAAGTAATAGCCTAATGGATTTGACATTGCATTAATTTTCCTTTTTCCCCTAAGTTAGAAAATTCCAATCTTGAAAACTTGAAGTATAGAAAGTACTATTTTAAAGCCATTCTTTTCATTATTTGCACCTGCATTCTTTTATATAACTGTCATAGAAGGATAGAAATCAATGTTTAGTATAACAGAGATATTTGAAGTTTCATTTAATATTGTAGCTTTTGAAAAACATAAATTGTAAAAAGAATAGTTGGGGGAAAAGAAATAAAAACAAAACGAATTTGCCTTCGGGGAAATTACAGTATATTTTATCTATAAGTTTAACAAAATCATTTTGAAAAGTTTGTCTTAATTTGGAATCCTGATTAATTTTTCAAAATATTGAAATAACTATCACAATTCATTATTATCAAGTTTAAATTAATAATTAGTAATTAAGAGTTAGTTTACAGTGCAAGTATAAATGCAAAACAAGTATATTTATAAACATGTACATCTATATCAATCCAGCAAACTAGCCAAATAATTATACGTATAGGAAATATCCTAATGTGTGCAATTGAGCAATATTTAATCTTGAATGAAAGCAAGATGCATGATGAGTTTAGTCATCTTCAGCTGTTTTACTAGGCGATGGACTGCCATCTATTGACTCATAGTAGCCCTCACACGTGAATGTGGCGTCAATCAGGGCAATGACCGAGTAATAAAGCCCAGGTTAGAACTGCTATTGTATATTCATTTAAACCAATCTTCTTAAAACTGGATATTTCTACACTTAATCATTGATTAATTTCTTTTTCTAACCCAAACATGCCCATTTCTTACCCAAAATGAACTATGCTTTTTGAGGGGAGAAATTGATTTGTATATCTAACTTGGAAATGTCTACATTTAAGAAGTTTTCTATTGCTTTTATCTGACTCTCAATCAGTGAGAATAGAAGGACATTTGCACAACCTAAAGTTTAGCTACTACAATTTAAGGTCTATCCAGGAATCACTTTCTTTAAAAAAAAAAAAAGTCTATAGGTTAAACAGAGTTTTATTTCTCAAACACATAAGAAAGATAGTAAGTTGACTGGTGTAAATGGACCTGTGAAATCAAATCAAATCAAAAATTCCTTAAAACACATTTTCCTCATTCTGAAATAAGAGGAAAATTAAAAAAGAGAGGTGTTCACTATTTTCAGCAATTTCATGAGATCAAACAGTCTCCTTTACAACTTACATGAATAGAATAGCTTTTTAACCAGACTTGACTAGACTTAATTAATTAAAAAAAAGACCATCATTCTAAACGGTACATGCTAATAAAACTCTAAGACACTACATATATTTTTGTATATGTACATATGTATCCATATTATAACAACTATTTGGCCATGTCATTTTTCTTTATATATTTTAATGGCTATAAAATTATGTCATGTAATTTAATGACTTTAGATTATCAATTTGGAGACCGTCATGGGAAAAAAAAATATATGATTTTTATTTAGCAGTTAAATAATTTCTCCAAATAGTTTATGTATTTACCTCCTTCAGAAAATGTTTAGAAAGTTTTTTAAATCTTCAGTAATATAGCACTGTTCTTATATCTTAATTTGTTACATTTTCAGATTTTGGTAAAGCCTAACTTTGAATATTCTTTTTCATCTTTCAGATAACTCATTCTAGATAAAAAAATTTCCCTCTTTAACTATTCAAGAAGGAAAGTCCCTTCCCCCATCCCCTGTCATTTCTAGTCTCATTTATATTAAAAATCCTAGGCCAAAATGGCCACCAACAGAGTTTTACAACCAGCAGAATTTTTAACTAGTAGAGGCTATAATTTGACATGCTTTGGACATTTTGTTAATCTTGTTTTTAATCTGCTTAAAAAAGTAACCAAGAGTTTGCTATTTGGGGTCCCTATGTATTAAGAACCAAAAAGGACAATACATCTTTTATGTTTAATTTTGCGCTTGGATTTCTTTGTGTGCATTGTTAAAATGTGTTACAACCTACTACCTTTTATTTTAACTAAAAGTTTAAACAGGAAGAAAATGTAACCTTTTTGGAAGAATTAAGTTTTAAATGTTTCTTTATGTGTAATGTTTGGAATGCCTAGAATTCAAAAAGTAAAATACTTGCTCTCAGGGACATGGAGAGGAGTAGTTTCCTTGTCTTCCTTTCTAGTCTAGGAAAGGCTTGTAACCTGAGTTTACTAGTAATTAATAGTAGTCTTACCTGAACCAGTTGAATGCCAGAGTATATCTTATAGACAATAATTAACAATATCATTCCATCTTGCCACTCAGTTTTCTCTCCTTACCTGGAAACATCAATTTAGAAATGTGTTTTCTGGATTTTCACAGTATGGAAACAAATGTTACTCCCTGAAACATTCTCTGCCATACCATAGAATAGGTAACCCTAAATGTCAAAAGATTTAAATTTAATTTTAGAACTATGTTTTACAATCCAGAAGGAAAGACTAAGAAGGTGGAATTTGGTTATGAGGCAATAGCTGTACAAAGGGCTTTATCCTGGAATTATGACGTAAGGGTGGGTAACAATTTTCTACCTAATACTAAAATGGAATATATTTTACTTAACTTAAAATGAGAAAAAATTAAAGAGTCTAAAAGAGTTTTACAAAGTCAGCCTCAAGCCAGAACCTTTTCTTTTCATGGACAAAAATTTTCTGTCTCTCTCTCTTCATTGAATATATGTTGGGAATCCTAAATCTCAGAATCTGAGAGCTCCTCGGCTACATAAGCAGAACTGCAAAACCTGCAAGAACTCCATCCACACAGTAGATATCAAGAGATAGGACTTTCTTGTGTGTGTGTGTGTGTGTGTGTGTGTATCAAAGGAAATAGAACTGGTTACATACTGCATTTTAAAATGTCAACTACCTCCAAATAGAGTGAGAATTAGGCCTCACTCTATTTGAGAATTATTTAAATAAACTTTTTCTTCATACGTTTTTTTTGAGGCCTGGCATACAAATTATCACAAACTAAGACTTTATAAATTCACCTTGGAGGCTCTTATTTTTGGTTGTTCAATTCACTTTGCCAATTTCTTTAAGAACTGGGAATACTCTTGTTTAAATTGTAGGGTTTTTTCCTCTCTGTCTTGAATCACTGTGGTTAAGTGTTGCTATTAAGATATTACATCTCTGTCAAATTTTCAGAGTTTTAGTTTTTATTAAAAATGCCCTTGGGCTTCCCTGGTGGCGCAGTGGCTGAGAGTCCGCCTGCCGATGCAGGGTACACGGGTTCCTGCCCCGGTCCGGGAAGATCCCACGTGCCGCAGAGCGGCTGGGCCCGTGAGCCATGGCCGCTGAGCCTGCGCGTCCGGAGCCTGTGCTCCACAACGGGAGAGGCCATAACAGTGAGAGGCCCGCGTACCGCAAAAAAAAAAAAAAAAATGCCCTTAATACTAGAACACTACTGAGGTGAATATAATCATGCTCTGAGGATTCAGATGGTACATGACTATTTTGTAGTACCTCAGGGCCATATTTCCATTGTAGTACTTATAAAGTAAATCACTGTTTCAAGTTACTTTGGTGTCTGAATAAAAAGAATTTTCTGAATAATCATTGATAACTTATTTTTCTAAAACTCCATCTATGATAACAGAGATAGAAATACAT